GGTATGTAAGGATGTCACCTGGCAGAATGCACTCAAGCAGTACCCTGATCAGCCCAGGTGCAAAGGACCCCTTTAAAAGAATGACATCCTCTAGTATGCTGTCTTTCCTGCTGTTCCTCTGGAGCAGACAGGACATTTCCTGTCTCCCTCTTCTGTCTGTCCTCTCTGTCTCTGTGTCTCTTTTCTCTTTCCTTCATCCTTTGTAATAAAACTTCTCACTTAAGCTCTGTCAGCCTGGAATGTTTGTCCCCCACCTCGGTCACCCTTGACTGCCATGGACTCCGCCAAGGTTCACCAGGAACTTTATCATAACAAGGTGGGTTTGGGGAAATGGCTCAGCATGAAGACCGAAGTGCAGATTCCCAGAACCTACAAAAAGCTGGCTAGAGTAGCTCATGCCTGTAAGGTTTCCACTGGAGGCTGACACAGGAGAATCCTGGTGTGTGCTGGCCAGCCGGTAGAGCCTAAAATAGGAGCCTTGAGCTCAGTGACAGACCCTATCTCTAAAAGGAAGATGAAGTCTTGAAGAATGACATCCTTAAGTGGACCTCTGGCCTCCACGTACACCTGCTTCTGGGGAAGCAACCCCACCTACACACACACATTTTTTTAAACAAATAATAGAGCCTGCATGGTAACCTATGCCTATAGTTTCAACATTTGGGACATAGAAGCAGGAGTTTGAGGTTATCTTTGGCTAAGTAGCAAACTCCAGGCTATTTTGAGCCACATGCGACCCTACCCACCCCTCAAAAAAAAAAAATCTCAATAGAGTTGAAATCCAGCAGAGTATTATATCAATCGCAGGGCTAGACTAGGTGATTAGCACTGATATCGTGTAGATACTCTCAAAGATTCTATGAAAAGATTTTGCTTATCTCTTCAGGTAGGGACTGTTCTAGGGTGATATGCCAGGTCAATTTAAGGGACTCTGAAGTTAAGGCCCCAGCCAAAACACTTGGCAAAATTAGCCTTAAAGGTGGGTGTGACTGATGAAAGAAAGCCTTTAGCATGATGCCTGGGCCTTTGAGCAATCATGCAAGTTTGTAAAGTGAAGGAGTGATCAGTTAATCGATAGGACTAGAAGAGCGGGAAAACAAAGGGGAGCCAAGTTTGGCAATGCTCACCTGTAATCCGCAGCCCTAGGGCAGCAGAGGCAAGAAGATCACTGCTACTTGGAGGCCAGCATGGAGAGTGTCAGAATAGCAAGGCTTATATAATGTGGTGGTTTGAATAAGAATATCCCCATAGAGTGGGGAGGGGGAGCCAGATGGTGGTGACCTTTTTAATAGGATAGATTTCTGTGAGTTCAAGGCCAGCCTGGTCTACTGAGTGAGTTCCAGGACAGCTTCCAAAGCAACAGAGAAACCCTGTGTGTGTGTGTGTGTGTGTGTGTGTGTGTGTGTGTTGGGGGGGGATATCCCCATGGGTTTGGCCATTTGAATAGTTAACTTGGTCCCCTGTTGGTCTTGTTTGGTGAATTTTTGGAGGTGTGGCTTTTTTGGAGACCTGTGCCATCCACCCGAGGCCTGCTTTGAGAGTTTAAAGATTTCAGTGCCATTTGGCGTTCTCTTTGCTTTGTGCCTGAGTTTGCTGATGTGAGCTCAGCTTCCAGCGGCTGCCTGCTGCATTTAGCTTTTCTAGAGCAAGATTAAAGATTAAAATTAAACAGCATACTGTGCAGAACCAGGAGTGCTCATAGCAACCCAGAAGGCCTCACTGAGAAAAGGACTTGGGGTTGAGACTTCACTAACTTTAGAACCAAGCACTCATTACAGGCTCACAGAGATCAAGTTCAAAAGCCCCAAAGTAAAAAAAAAAAAAATGGGTATTCACATAGCAGTTTAAATTTTCAGACTTGAAGATGGGAGAGAGACAGTCAAGGACTATATCACAACTGGAGAATTGAGAGGGCCTAACTTTGGGGCCTAAATAAGCTAAGTTATTTAGAGATCTCATTCTTACTGCAGTGCGGGGGTGGGGAGTGGCATTTGAGGAACATTAAAATGAGAAATGGTAGGGTATTGTTTTAATTTTTATTTTTAGATATGGTATCATTCAAGTGCCCAAATTTGCCTTGAGATTATGATGCTCATAGCCAAGGATGGAGATCAGCCTGGTCCACAGAGGGAGTTCCAGGACAGCCAGAGCTACACAGAGAAGCCCTGTCTCGAAAACAAAGAAACAAAACAAAACAAAACAAAAAAAAACTGTGGTTATCTTGGCTTGATTTAGAAGCAGCTGAGGCCACAGGTAGAGCAAGAAAGAGGAAGAGGTGACAGGAGGCCACAGGGTGTTAGTGGCACAGGGTGATAATCCCAGCATTACAGAGAGTCAAATGAGAGGATCATAAGTTCAAGGCAAGCCTGGCCTACACAGGCAATTTCCAGTACAGCTTGCAGCTTGGACAACACAGGAAGACCTTGTCTGGAAAGAGAGATGGGAGCAGGAGAGCTTACTGTGTGCTTTGTTTTTTTTTTTCCCCCTGAAAAGAAAACCCAAAGGTTTGTCACGTGTGGCCATACATGCCTATACTCTTAGCACTGGGAGCTGAAGACAGGAGGTTACCTAATGAGGTTAAGGCCAGCCTGGGCTATATGAGACCTCCTCAATGTTTTTAGATTGGCAATGTTTTTAATTAACAGAATTCACAATGATTTAGTAATGCTTTACATATTTGGTGCAGACCAGGGAACTGACTATCAGAGTTTCTATGTAACAACAGTTCACACTGTTCATTTTTTCCCCCAATACCTGAGTTGTCCTATGTACTTGTATTTTATTTTTTTAATTTATTTATTTTTATTTTATCTGCATTGGTATTTTGCCTGCATGTATGTTTGTGTGAGGCTGTCAGATCTTGGAGTTACAGACCGTTGTGAGCATCCATGTGTGTGCTGGGAGTTGAACTCCAGGTTTTCTGGAAGAGCAGTCAGTGCCCTTAACTGCCAAGCCATCTCTCCAGACCCCCTTGGATTTCACATTAAAAGAAAATCCAACAGAAATTAGCTGGGCACTGTACTTGAAACCTTTTCTGTTCTTCGCTTTGTCTCCTAAACTTCTGAAACCTTTGTTGGCATGGCTCTTCCTGACCAGAGTTCAGCTGTCATAGCTATTGGCTCACCTGTCTCCCGTAGGATATCATCAGTCTTCCTGGATGAGTACAGGGAGAGATAATGACTTTCTGATTGGGATATTTTCTATGGATACCTTGGCAGTTTTCTATGGCCATCCTACACAACAGCAGAGAGAAATTTGCCAAAGATAACTTTAATTTCATGTGGATCTAAGTAAGGCCTGCAGAGTGGGGGGTGTGGTG